GGTAGAGCGGCGAGTCTTCAAACACCGACTCGGTTTCCCATGCTGGCGTCGACGGCTTTCCTTGCATCCCGCGGTACGACTTTGTGCGCGGAACAAACACCTCGTCACGGTTCATGTTGTTTGTGTTCTTATGGTGCTGCGAGTGGGTGTGGCGCCACGAGTAGTACGGAACCATCAGCGCCGAGTGCAGAACCCATCCAGTCACGTTGTTGATCGTCTTGTTTGCCGAGAATCCGCCGTGCCCACTACAGAATTCCAATAAAGACAAGATGCATGGCATTGCAAAATATTCATATTTTTGTTTTGAGCATGGCCGACGGCGATCGCTTTTTTTGCATGCAGGATTTGCCGTTTGCTGACTTGTTCTGCTTTTGGCAACAAACCAAAAGATTGAAAAGCTGGGCTTTTTCAGGTGCTCGCAGCCAAAAAACGGACAAGATGGTTGAATTCCATTCTAACATGCTCCATTGGTAGACCGAGGGCGACTTTAGGATAGAGAGAGGCGGCGCAAGCCATTTTCTTTACGTGAATGCATTGTTACCTCTTTTGTCCGGTAAAAAAAGGGATTGTTTTAGGGAACCCAAGCACAAGCCAAACCACGGAAACACAAGAAAACCTCCACGCATGCAAACAAAGCAAACAAATAAGAAATGCTTGTGTCCTGCAGTCTGTCCAAGAGAAAATACCTTCTGCATAGAAGATCAAAAAACTAAAGGCTCTTGAAAAATTTTTCATGTGATTGGGACAGGGGACAACAGGGGGGATATGTAACAACTTACCATTCGTGTGCAATGACCCAGATACCCGTGCAAACGACGCCCTGGGCAATCCAGTAGAAGACCCAAGCTGGCACACGCAGGAGCGGCGGCAGCATGTTGATATGGTTTGCGCATAGAGCCAGGAACGCCACACCACATAGATCATACGCTACATAGCTGAACGAGCGCAAGGTGTCGCGCTGGAAGCAGTGCTTGGGAACACAGTCGCGAAGCTCCTTTATGGTGAAGGACGGAGGAACAAAGTCCTTTTCAGGGTTGACGATTTTCTTTGCTCCCATTCTCTCGAGCGCGTTACGAAAAATCGGCAGATGAAGAGGAGAGAAAAAGGAAAGAACCAAGGACGGCAAAGGCAAGGTGTTGGTGTAAGCAGCAGGTGACAACGAGTCCAATACAAATGCTTCCTTTCCGATATGCTGGTACTAAAGCAACAGCGTTAACGTGTAGGTGATAAAGAGTGTAAAATAAAAAAGATAAAGGAAGTGACAGGAAGCTTGTCAGGATCTCCTCGCCACTGCCGACTTTATCGGTTTATATAGAGCAAGAATCTCCCAGATCTATCCTCCCCAAACGCCTCCAACAACAACAGCCACTGCTAGATGGGCAGGGAAGAAAAACCTGCACTACACTTTTACACCGCACCCCAACCACAAAAACCAGTCTGCAGATAACATGAAATGCAGTGTTGGTTGACTTTCGCTGGTGCATGTGGGCTGATTTGTTACTTTTTTTTCTAAAAAAAGTCTACTGCATTTTGATCGAATCAGAGGCTGTGTAAGATTATTCCTTTTCAATTTTTTTAATACGTCAAAAAAGAAGCCAATCGTCCTGCTGCCAACGCAGACCGTTTTTGTGCTTCAGAAGAGATGTGAACATTGAAGCATTCAGCTAAATTAATTGTCTCATGTTATTGGTGAACATCGCCAAACATCACTCTTTGCAGTGGGTTCCGTCCTCCACACATAGTGCACAAGCAAATAAGCTGATAAATGTCAGAAGCAAGAAATAAAACTAATACAAGCAAATCGTAAAAGGTTGGTCCATTACAGGTGGGACAAATGAAAAAGGGGGAGGGAGCTACTTGGCCAAGGCGCCCATAGGATCCCAGGGTGGCAGCACAACAGCCTCCTGGTCCAGCACATCAAGAACCTCCTTGGGCAGATCGCTCTTCTCAAGAACAATCTGGTAGACAAACTCGTCAAACCACTTGTCTGTCATGGTCAGGTACCCCTTGTTGCCATACGAGTCGCCCCAAGAGTTTTCGATTCTCCAGCGGACAGTCTTGTCATCCTCGATGTGGACGCCCGTCAGAACCATTGCGTGCGTCATCATGCTCTCGCCATACTGCAGGCGCTCCGCCTTGGTCATGCCAAAGTCGAAATCAAACGCTGCCTTGTAGTCAATGAGCTCTGGATCCATCATCCCCTTGTTGCGCGAATGGAACTTGCCCACGTCACAGCCAAACCACACGGGGCGGCCCGACTTTATGACGCTAGCTGCGTACTCCTTGATGTGGTCCACAGACAGATTGATGTAGTGAACCTGCTCGGCGCCATGGACATTGCCTAGATACTTCACGGTGTACTTTTTCATGTATCCGTTGCGCGGGTCGTTGATCAGGGATACCAGGTTCTTGCAGTCCTGCTTGACGTGGTCCTTGTAGAACTGGAGCGGCGTAATGTCCCTGAACTCGTGGAACTTTTTGTCCTTGTTGTAGAACGCCCAGTTAAGCTTCTTGGGCGGCTGGCCTAGAGACACCGACATAATCCGGTGGATCTCTTTCAGCATCTGGCCCTTTAGGCCGCGCACCTCCTCGACACTCTTTCCCTTCGCATGCGCTGCGCGCATGGTCTTAGCATACTCACGCAGCTTGGTGGTAACTAACCCATCCATTTGCCCTGAGCTCGACGTGTGGTGCGTTTCGGGATATGCCTCCTTTGGCACCACGCCGTACTTTTCAATCAACGCAACAAACATGTCCCACTGTCCGCCGTCGCCAACAGGGTCCTTCAGCAAGTACTGCACAACGCGCCCGTCGAGATCCTCGTCGAGAGTATTGAGCACATTTTCCAGGAACCAGTTGGACTTTTCCAGCTTGTCGTAGAAGAAGATAAACGGCTGCGAAAGCTCCAGGTCCTCGAGGTTGTACTCCTTCATCATGCGCTGGCGCAGCATATTGAGCCCCGCAAAGATCCAGCACCTGCCGCTGCTCTTTTGGTCGGTAATCGGCGCATCAATTTCCAGCTTGTTTGAGAACACTGGCGGATGCTTCAGGTACACCTCGCGGTTCTCGAGAGCATTGCTGTACGCTTCGCGCGAGATTGTAAGCGTTGCTAGCTTGTTTTTGATATCGGCATCAAACTCTCCGCAGTAGTCCTTGAGCTGGGGAATGGTGATTCCCTGACTAATCTTGGGACAGTCGTTACTGCCATCCTTTGCTGTCTTGGCCACTGAGGAACATGGTGCAGCTCCCTGGGCCTGCTGCTCTTGGGGATTGGCCAAGAGGTGACGAGCATACGAGGAGGATACAATGGTGCTCTTGGTTAGATGGACAACAGTCATTGCTGGGTAATACTACGCTGGCTAAAAATAAAATAATACGGCTACGGAAATGAAAAGAAAAGAAAAGAAAAAAGTAAACGCGTAAGGAACAGTTTGAAGAGGATAGAATAACTCCAGTCAGTATCCACAATTAAAGATAGAAAGGAACGAAACAGAAAGAGAAAAATGACATTGGCACAACACAATGGCCTTTTTGACAGAGACGTCAGCAGCTGGGGATTTCAACAGCATCATTCTCACCCCCTTTTTTCTCACACTCCTGTTTACTGTGTATGAGAGCTCATTTAAATCCAACACGTGCCTCATGCATCGCAAAGATACAAACAGTGCCACGCCTTGCATCTTTTGTTCTGCACTGACTCCCCCTCTCACATGACTTTTCAATTGTGGGCTTTGACATCCAGAAGGTCTTTGAATGCGCAGTTGGCTTTACCGCCTTTTTAAAAAGAGCAACAAATCTAAAAAGGAAATGTAGAAATTGTCTCTTATCTGAAAGTCAATCCAGTTGCCGCTGGCATTTCAAAAAAGTACGGATGGTCGAGCGCTGCCTGCACAGTGATACGCTTCCGTGGATCATATGTGATAAATGAGTTCAGCAGCAGAATGGTTTGATCGCTGACATCGCGAACCACACGCTTCAGGTTGTTGTACTTGTTTTCAGGAAGCCGCATATCCGGGGCCAATGGTAGCTGCCGGTACCCTGGCCATATTCTTCCATTTGGCGCTCCGATCATATCGACAATCAGTTCCATCTGCTCTTGTTCATTCCTGCCAGGCATAAATGGCTTGTGGATCAAAAGCTCACCAAATATACATCCCACCGACCAGAGGTCTATTGCCTTTGTGTACTCGGAAGATCCGAGGATAAGCTCAGGTGCACGATACCATAGCGTGGCGACCTGCGGCGTCATTGGCCGCCGAGGCTCGTGGAACAGCCGAGCAAGCCCAAAGTCTGCGATTTTAAGCTCGCCAGACCGAGTCAAAAGGGCATTAGGAGGTTTTAGATCTCTGTGAATAATATAGTTGTTGTGGCAATATTCCAACCCTCGTAGGAGCTGGTGGAGCAGCCCCTTTACCTCTGACTCGGTGAACGGCGTTTTCATATTGTCAAGCAGAGATCCAAGATCGTAATCACAATATTCCATGACCATAAATATGCTGTCAATGCTGTGGCCAACAGCTATCTCTATCACATTAACAATGTTTTGATGTTTCAGCCCCTTCAAAAGGGCAATTTCGCGAAAGCTTGACAGAGGCAACCCTTGCGAACTGTCACTTACATTCACACGCATGCGTTTCAATGCCACCAGCCGCTTTGTCGTCTTGTGTCGTGCTTGGTAGACGATCCCGTATGTGCCTTCACCAATTCGGCTAATCTTTTCGTATTCATCCACATCTGCGCATGCGCCAATAAACCCGCTCTCTGGGACAGCCATTATATTTCCAGAAAAATCAACAAAGACATCATCACTACTAGACATTATGAATATTAGAATAGAAGCGTTATATGATGCATGCGTAGTTTGTAAACAAGAAAAGCAGAAACGGCATTCAAGATAAACGAAGTGCATGGCGTGGAGTGGGCTGTATCAGCTGTTGGGCTAGCCCTCGCACAATGGGCATTGCAAAGTTTGGGATAAAAAAGAACAAAAAAAGAAAAAATGCTGTCACCTGGAATCGAACCAGGGTCGCCACGGCCACAACGTGGAGTACTAACCACTATACTATGACAGCTTCGCTACTTTGGCTTGGGCTTTTAACCCAAATCATAACTCTAGATTCGGAAGAAAATGTTAATATAAAGCTCTCTTTGCACAGTCGCTATTATTGTGTTCTCCAAACTTGAGCAGTAGCCGTTTTGCCTTTGCTTTGTCTTTGTTTCAGATGCCTATTTTTAAAATTAACCGTGTTTGGTTGACGTGTCTATCGTATACCTATCTAAATGTATTTCTTATTTTGTATACAGTGGAATTACTAAAAAGAATAGAGAGATGCTACCATTGATCCTGCTGTGGAGAAAGAGGCACAATTGCTGACCCTCTTCTGCCATGTCCTTTCTTGCGTCTGGTAATTTGAGATGCAGAGTAAGCATCTCCTAGTTTCATTAGCGGATGCGAAACCACCACCCACTGCTTGCCGAGTATTTTTGCTCTTCCAGTGCGACGACCATCGGTATGTCTCACAAAGCCATAGTCTGCGATTCCCTTGGCAATAATGCTGTCGCTTCTAGCCGTGTGCCCGTGTGCCTGCATAGCCGCAAGAAGCTTCTGCGGGTCAGAGTACCGGATAGCGTTTCCTTCGCGGTTCCACATGACCCAATCGCTGTTTGCCGGATCGCTTGCAATGCGGTGAAGGCTAAATGGAAATACTGCCTTTTTATCCATTCCACTCGGCTCCGACAACCCCCTTCCAAAGAGTGCTTTGTCGCTGGTGTTACTACCTGCCAGGAACAAATCCGACTGAGCAACTGACGGAACCATGTCAGACATTCCGAGAAGAGGCAGCTGCGATTTCGGCTGGAGCTGAGTAGACGATGAGAGAGAAGGAAGCGATTCCAAAAGGGTTTTAGGCGCTTCGTTAAAGCATTGCTGGTTCTGGTTCATGTCTGGCGACTGCAGCAAAAGGCTTAGAAAATCAAAGTCAACAGAAAAAGTGGACATTGTCGCGAGAATTCCAAAGGCAAGAATAAGAATGCTGGCTGGTATTTTGACAGACGAGCGTGGATTGAGAAAGAAATACAGTCATGTTTTATACGTGAGCCATTCACCAGACCGTTTTATTCTGGCGCTTGAATGAGCATCTCTGGGCACCGTGTAAGGGGTACCATTCAGGAACAAGCTCTTATTTTGTTCAAGAAAGCGGTTGATCTTGGCGCTAGTCTTGAACAAAGCGTTTGATTTGCAGTGGCCCCGATCCTTCCAAGTCTGGCGTATTCCGAGCTCTGGGTGCAAAAGCGCGTCGCTTGCTACATACCGCGAACCCGCCAGGCATGCTGGCCGGCTCTTAAAGAGCGTAGCTGATTCGTTTTTGGACCCTTTAATTTACGCATGCTGTTCCATTGTTAGAATCGTTTCTGAGGCTGGACCATTGTCCCTGTATAAAAGCAAGTGGCCCAGAAACCTGAAAACCTGTTTATCGTCGTCCTCCTGAGCCGTGGAACAAACAGTTTTCTTGAAACAAGGAACAATGTGTTTTGTGACCCATGGAAAGCGCGTCGTTTTGCTTTAGACGCACATGCTTGTCGCTCCTTGTTTTGCAAAGTACCGAAAACACATGTGGTGCTGTGTTCTAGGCGGAAAACATTGGAAAGCTACTACTTTTTCACATGGACACTGCAAACATGCATCACTCATTTTCTGCTTAGAGCCTTCTGTGGGCTTGTAATGTATTCTCCAACTTTTTTATCTTTGCCTGAAAGATACGCGTTATTTGATATAGTATCAATTCCAAAAACCTTGGTACATGTTGGATAAGAGACATAAAATATTGAAACGCTTACTCGCCAACATTCGTCATTTATGGAAAGCGTCATTTACCTGATCCGGAAGATAGTTGTTGGGTGGTATATCTAACAGATCTCTTGCAAACATAAAATCCAGTAAATTAGGCTTCTTGTTTATCTAGAGCTGTGTTTTTGCGCATGGTCGTATCGGATATATGTCGTTGTTGGGACGATAAACAATAAACCAGCAACATTCTATAGTCCACTCAACACAAAGTGTTTGTCTATTGAGGCTATCCATACTACAGACCCACACCTTATTCTTCGTCACAGCAAGCATATTATTGTGCTGAGAAATAAATTGGCTTGCGGGAAATATAAAGTGGATGAATGTCCTGTGATTATATTCAATTATAGTTGCGGCTCTTTATACCAGAGTACAAAACAATAAATAATTTACCAGACGCGCACATTTAAAAAGTGCAATTGTGCTCCTGTGTGTGGGGAAAAGGATGACCAACAATAGATTGTGTCTTATTCTCCAGTGGGAACAGCAAAAAATCATGTAAATGAGGCTTCTGTTCCTGCGTGACATAAGGACATGTTTTGTTGTTAAAAATATCTGCAGGACAAGCCGCTTGTGACAATTTCGGCACCAATTTTAAAATTTTTTGCGACTTTGATGTATAAAACAAAACGAGTCTGGCGTGCTCTGTAGTACAAAAGAATAGGGCAATTTCTGCTGCTGCTTTTCACAACGACCACTTTAACATTTGCTCTTTATCAATTTGTATATTCCCTTTTATTTTGCATTGATAAGCTTATTCAGAATGGGATGCTGGTCAAACAGACAAAACTCTGCGCAGAATACGGCTACCAAGTATGACAACTACAGGAACTGGCATATTAAATGTAGATTGCACTTGTTTGACGCCCGTCGTGTTGGTACGGCCCGAATATTTGGTACTGGGACGCTTCTTACCATTAGGGCACTCCTTTTCGCATATACACTTGGTGTGTGGATTTTCACAATTGTTTATGACGCAGAGCATGGGAATATGAAAGGTCATTTTGTTTATTTCACTTATCTCAGCTACACCGGCGTTCTTGCCTATCTGGCCTCCTCTTTGGTACATACAGTGCAGCACTGGCGACATGGTGCACCTTCATCTTTTACATTGATGCCAAAGACCCTGCAGCTGCTACACTGGTTCCTGTACGAGTCGGTTGTTTTGTATGCGGTAGTTGTGACAGCTATGTTCTGGTCCTTAATATACAGCTCAGCCGACTACTCAACAACAGAGCTACGATGGTCAACAGCATCTGTCCACGCAACAAACACTATCTGTGTTGTTGTTGACACAGTAATTGGCTCCATGGTCCTTTCTCCACACTGGTCGCATCCGCTGTTACTTTGCATTATTTTTGCACTGTACCTGGCGTTGACATACATAAACTATGCGGTAAACGGCTGGTTCGTTTATACCTTTCTTGACTACAAAAAGCACAAATCAATGGAGGCAGCGATTATTTTTGGTCTTTTAGCCATATTTATCGTTGTATATTACGTTATCTTTGCTCTTCAGCTACTCTTGGATCGATTGCTTCCGCCAAAGTTTGAAGCCAAACTTGCTTCAGCGGATGATGAAAATATGCTTTTTTCAGACAAGAATTAAAGAGCCACAACGGTAACGATGTTTCTTTGCATACTACATTTCCATATAATCACAATAAAGCAAAGTCTTTTTATTAATACAAACTACGCAGAAACACCAACAGGTAGAGCCAGAAATGCGGTGTTACGCCCTTCCTCTGAAAGGGCATTGAATGTGCTGCTGGCGTATCGGGTATTCGCAAGCTCCACGTTCAAACCGATTGATGTCAAGTACTTTTTCGCATTCGTAGAAAGCGGCGAGATCTGTGCACCGCCTCCAACGACAATAATCTCGGGCTTTGGCGTGACAATATCAAGAACAGCCAGAGCCTTTGGATCAAGTAAAAGCAGCGGGTTCACAGTTTTGCCACTTGAATCTGGTGTGGGTGGCGGTATCTTTAACGTAAACGCTTCGTTGTTCACAATTAGCAAGGGTCCATATGCCGTCTTTCCGTTACTCAAACGAAACCCAGTTGGCAGGACCTTGGTTATGTGGACCATGTTTTGGTCGACTTGGAACATGTTTGCTATACCTGCATCCAGCAGGGGTTCCTTCATATCGTATTTAAGTCTGTCGCCTCTCTTTTCTGGCGTTTTGTCGCTGGTATAAAGCCGGACAGGCGTCCTTCTGTAGTGCTCCGTTTGTGGAAGCAGACTACCGACTGTTGTGGCAGCTCTGGCAGTTGTTGAGCGTGCAGATGCGTTACACAGCACCCTTCCGCAGACCAATGTTCTTGTAATTCCAATCATTCGCAGGACAATTTTTACAATAGTATAAACATAAATAAAAGCTGGTAAAGAAAAAAACGATTTCAGGGAGTGTGTGAGTGAAAAAAGCACGATGACCACCGAACCTTGAGCAAGTGATATAAATATGATCTTTCATCGGCCGTGATCCTAAAATCACCATTGTTTAATTAACCATTTTTTGATGCTCTAAAATTTTCGTCATTTTTTTCTTGATCCGCTTTTGTTTCTTTTCCCTTGCGTTTGCTCAGTAAAACACTTTTATACAGGAATACGCTGTCTCTATTTTTAATTATTGTAGCACCTTTTCAGAAAGAGAGAGGAACGATATGGTTAGCAGCGAACTCGCCACAGCAGTCGATAAAAGGCTGAAAACAATTACCACACAGGCAAACCAAATTCGCGATATCGTGGAAAAACTACGGGAGCGTGTCGAGGATGGGGAACTAGCCACGGGAAGCGGGATCAGCTTTCTCGAGGTGAAGCACCACACAATGCTGTCCTACATAACGCATCTTGCGTATCTGACGCTTCTAAAACTCCACGGCAAGCAGATCGAGGACCATCCAGCCATTATGAACCTGATTGAAGATAGGACAGTTCTGGAGCGAATGCGGCCACTGGAGCAGCGACTCAAGTATCAGATTGATAAGATGCTACGCAACACGATTATTTCGACAGACGAAGAAGCCCAACAGAGGCAGAGACGGCAAGAGGGCACAGAGCAGCTGGCAACAACCGACGACCCAGAGAAAGCTACCATTGCCGATACCAGCGCGAAACTTGCTGCAGTTATGCTTGGCGAGGACACGCTGGCCGATCCAACAGCATTCAAACCGAATCCTGGGAGCCTTGCTACAGATATCCGCGAGGAGGACGAGATGGCTATCG